GTGCTGCCCTCCTTCCTATTGGTTGTCTTCAAGCGTCTTCCCATCCCTGTCACAACAGCTAATTCACCGAACCTTGGGATTGTGTTCACGCGTGACTTGGTTGTCCATGTCAGCATTACACATCTTCTTCTACCCCCACTTCGGATAGCCTAACATAGCCCACATAGCATGTGTCATTTGTCTAAGACTCGTGGGAGTGGTCTCGGCACCACCGTTGGCAAGGCTGATATGACAATGAGGTGGAGTTCAGCAACATCATGTCGAGTGCTCAACATGCTGGGATTTTCTCTCTCCTCATTAGCCTACTGTGGTTTCTCTCTCTTTAGCAAAGTTGGGCAATGAGGTGGAAGAGAAGACTGAGGTGGACCTCGGCTCTAATGCACTACTCCCCATAAGCTAGAATATGCAAGTAACCACACTTGAAATAATAGAGCAAATAGACTAAAATAAAGCAAATAATAAGCTAATAATTTAATTTTCAATTTTTTTTTGATAGATATCAAAAGGAAATTTACAAATTATTAACATATAATCTACAAAAGTATTATTATAGAAGCTAAAAATAAATCACATTCTAAATTTATAGACCAATTTGGCCAATATCATGTACAACTAGGGGTGGCAAATCGGGTCATCATGTCGTGTTTTTGTCTGACACGACACGACACGACAATGTTTTATGTAACACAAACACGACACGACACGATGTCGTGTTTTTTCTAACTAACACGAAAATGAACAAATTAAAAAACGACAAAAACGACAAAAATAACATAATATAACAATTAGTGTATTTAATCACAAATAACACGACAAACACGAAAAACACGACAAATAAATACTAAATCGTGTCAATATCGTGTCGAATTTTGAACACGAACACGACACGACACGACACGACATCGGGTTTTTAACACTTGACACGAACACGAATTTGAATTTCAGTTTCGTGCCAATTTCGTTTCGTGTCGTGTATTTTTGTCGTGTCGTGTCAACAATTGTCACCCTTATGTACAACACTTACGATCATCTTTAGGATGTCGAACAAGAACCAAATGGTCGCAAAGTTAAATACATTTGCTTGTACTAACAATCGTGTATTGGGGGCATTACATGTGATACAAGAACAAAATACAAATTTTATATTTTTCCTAAATTCTTCTTTACCACAAAATCTTACTTAGGTTCCATTATTCATCACTTAATAAAATAAACCTTAGTTTATTTAAGTTCCAAATATCAATAAAATTATTTATGATTAAAGCCTCATATATCTTTAAAATTTTAAAGGAAAATCTCCAATAAAGTCTCAATATTTTGGGCGAATTTACGATTTAATTCCAAATTAAATTTTATTTATAAAAAAAGACAGAATATCAGCTAAAACTTCGGAATAACCCTTTGTGGCCGGTTTCGCAGATTTAGCCAGTATTCCGGGTTTTTTCGTTAATTGATCAAAATTTTGGGGTTTTTTCGTTAATTGATCAATTACCCTTAAACTTATTGTGAATTTCACTCATCCACCTCTCAAACTACTACTCCTTTGTGTTTTCACTTTTTCTTATCCACCTCTACAAGTTGTACTCTTTCAACTTATTTAGTGTTTTAATCTAGCATGAAAAGACATACTTCTAAGGTCTATACTCTAAACCAATCAATCTGACACGAAAATAAATTGATTGACACGAAAATAAACGGGTTGAATCATGCACTTCAACACGCTCATGTTAAACTCGTACCTCAATTTGCCAAGGCCAGTAGCAACATCTTGGTAGCAACTAGTCTTGCCTTGGATAGACCACAAAACACAGATTCGTTTGAACTTTGATACCTCATTTCACACATGCACACATACGTTCCAGATCAAAAACTTTTATGTGTGTGTGTGTGCACATAAAAAGGAAAGACAAAGATCTATTTGAGGGATATGTGTATGTGTCCCTTATCGCATCCTTCCCAATTTTGCAATAGATAGAAAGAAACAGAGGGAGAAAGTGGGCGGATGGATTAAGGTTTTAAACAACCAATAGAATGAAGAAGAAATGAGTATTAACAAGAAAGGTTATCCCATAGATTTAAGTATACATGATTAGTGTTATTATGTATGTTTTGTGGTTATCTCAATACTTAAACCAATATTGAAATCAAAAGAAAATATACAATATTTTTGTATGAATTTCATCTTGCAATCATGGAGCACTCTATCTTCGGTAAAGCTTTTCAGACAAATTTATGAATTTTGTTAGTTTTTTGGATTGTATATATACTTTTTTATAAATTTCGTGACTTTAAAACTGAATATATAACGTTGTATAAAAAAATGGAAAAAACACTCATTTTAAATATATTGATAAAACGGTTATTCCGAAGTTTTAGTTGGATTAACGAAAAAGTCCCAATATTTTGACGAATTAACGAAAAAAGCCGGAATACCGGCTAAATCTACGAAACCGGTCACAGAGGGTTATTCCGAAGTTTTAGCCGGTATTCTGTCCTTTTTTGTAAACAAAAATTAATTTGGGACTAAACCGTAAACTGACCTGAACAATTAGAACTTTATTGGAGATTTCCCAACTCTAAATGAGCTTCCATTTTAATTTAATCGATTGGGAAAAATGGTTTAATCGTTTCTTGAGCCCAATTGGCCATTTGCTTACCATTTAATTTAACTAAATAAAAGCCCAAATTTAGTTCCTTGAAATGGTTACTTTACGGATCAAGTCACCATTCGACAATCACATTATATACATTTAAATGCTATAGTGATCAACATATTCAAAAGAGTCTTTTGATACAATTGTTGGGAATTGATAGCTACAAATAATTGGGTAACCAATACAACGCAATATAATAAAACAGTTTAATTATAATTCCTAAAAGAAGGATCCAATTAAATCAACAAGGATTAACCATTCACATCCATTGGGGGAATCAAGATTTATCTTAAGCTAAATGGGGTGGTGCTATGGATGTACGGTGTTACATCGGACACTCGTGTCGTGTTTTTGTCTGACATGACACAACACGATGATGTTATATGTAACACAAACACGACACGATGCCGTGTTTATTTTCATTAACACGAAAACGAGTCGATTAAAACACGAAAAACACGACACGACAAACGTAAAAGAATATAATAATTAGTTTTTATAATTCATACTTAATCACATATAACACAAAAAACACGACAAACACATGATAAATCGTGTCAGTTTTGTGTCGAATTTTAAACACGAACACGAAACAAAGTCGTGTTTTTACACTTAATACGAATTCAATTTCGATTTTGTTTCAATTTGGTTTCGTGTCGTGTATTTTTGTCGTGCCGTGCCATAAATTGACACCCCCTGTATGGATGTCATGGCTTTTTTTGTCATCTTATTTTTGCCGTATTTACCATCCTAATTTTATTGCAACACTTTGAATTATTATTATTTTTTTTTAAATACAATTTCATTTACCTTAAAAACTTAAAATTTTCATTAATTAAAAATTAAATCAACATATCAAGACTTAAAACGTCTAAAACATAACAATAGATAAGTAAGATTAAAAATCACAATTTATATTTTTCTTTAATTGTGGCTTTTGTTGTCAAAAACCGCTTGTGGAATTCGTATTTAAGTCTGCGAAGTCTGACCTTATACCTTGTATTTCACAAAAGGGATGGCACCCGATGAACTTGACGATGCAACTTTTCTTTTTCTTTAGACTTTATCCCTTCCCATTGTTCGAGTAGGTGGTTAAAATTTTAAGTATGTCATCATCATCGTTGAGGTCTAATCCCACACGAGCAACCAATAATGTTATGTGGTTAGAGTCGGATGTTTTAGTTCTTTTGGAACTCTTCCCAATATTTTTCCACCATCGCAATGTGTTTCCATCTCGGGTTATCTTTTACAATACTCCAAAAATCTACAAACTTGAAAATCTTTTTGTCATCTTCTCCCAGAACATGTAGAGTGTCTTGGATAAAATGGTTGCCTCATCTTCACCGCTTTTGCATTGATCAGTCAAGTTGTTGTACAAACCGTTAAAACGTGTATTAACTTTGTTTGTAGTATTCCATTTCGTGTAAATTACCTTGTGGAAACGAGTCATAATGTGTCCCAAAAAAAGTTTTCCTTTTTGGTCCTTTCTACCACCGGGTCCTTTGAGACATCGAGCCAAGCACATGCCAATGTGGTTTCTTTTTCTGGTTCCCATGCTTTAGAGGACATCCTTCATGTTCTTTTTGGAGATTCAACCCTCACTTCGGGTTCTTTTGTGGTTGATGTTGGATTTGGGGTTGGGTTCCGGAATGCTTTCAAGGAAGAGGTTGAAGTTATTATGGGAAAATAGTTGGTGGGATGCATCTACATCACCGCCATAAAGTGGGTTAGGATAATAAATAGAGTTGTTGAGCTGTGAGTGGTAGGTTAGTGTTGGAGAATCTAAACTGAAGATGTTTCTACTAGGTGTATTAAGAGAATTAAGGTTGTTTAGAGAGTTACTTGAAGACATTTTGCATGTAAAAAACCTGAAAGATGAGAGAAGTCAGGTTGTTTTTGATGTGGTAAAAATAGAAGAGATATGGTTTGTATTTAGATTTGATTTTTTTTTTTTTTTTTTTTTGAAATTCACTGTCAAACGGGGAGTAAAAGAAGAGAGGGAAAATGGCGAAGGGGTGTCTGGTTCAACAACTTTATGCTGCATGCCATAGTCATGGGACGGTGCTTGCCATAACAAGGAGGCTCCAGCTACACATACCCTGCTCCACTCCCTAAAGTTTTTACTTATTAACAAATACTTTCTGTTATGATCATTTTATGTGTTATTTCTTTAACTTGATCAAAATATTCTGAACACTCGACAATCAAATACATATACTGTTACAACTAAAATAACATAAAGACATCCAAACGTTATCTTCTATAATGTACATCATATTCATTATCACACAACCAGTTTCAAAAGAAGGATCCAAACACCCAACAATAACACAAAAAGCTAAAAAAGTACCAGATCACCATTCACCGTATCATAAAAAGTAGCAGAAAATAAATACATACCAAAATTTACAAGACGTAAACAGTCTTATATACACAACTGCCATGCTCTTAACACAAGGAAAAAAGCCACTAGTAAAAAATAAACATGTCTAATTATCCAACCTTACCTAGTTCATACTCCATACCACTTGAAAACAAAATTAACAAAACTGAGAAAGCAAGTCTCCTCTGTTACTTCAACATTAACACCAGACCAAAAACCTTTATTGCTACAAGAACCTGCATCATCCACAAACATAAACCCATTGTCCTATCAACACACAAAATCAAACAGCAGTAAAAACATATAACATTATGGGAGAAATCTAGAACTTTTTTTTACCTCTTAAAGTCAATAACCACCAACATATTGCCCAGACGCGCCCCCATATCTTCCTGGGGCTACATTTCCATTTCCACCACCAGTACCAGGACAGTCTCTTGCCCAATGTCCAGGTTGATTGCACTTAAAACACAAATTAGATCCGCCACTTGTCCCACCACCATAAGCTGAAGGTGAAGGTGCATGACTATTTCCACCTCCAGAAACCACACTATTAAACCTTCCTCCTTGACTATTATATCCACTTGGACAGTTTGCATAGTTATGCCCCACACCACCACAGCTATTGCAGCTACTACCAACCCTAGAACTAGAAGAAGAACCACCACCACCATATTGATTCCCATATTGACCTACTCCACTAAGACCTCCGGAATCTCTGATTCCATTTCCACCATATGAAGGAATCGCCATTTCCACCTTTGGCTGTCCTATTCCAACAGAAACCATGTCCTCTTTTTTAAGTAAATCAAGCAAAAACGTTGTCTCGGATGAAAGATTTTTTATCTTCTCGGCTTTCACAACAGTGGACTTCACACGCTGTTCATCGCTGAAAGTCTCTTCCTTCACTTTCAACTTAAAGTTATATCTACTAAACAGAACCTTCCGGACAGCTTTAGTAAACTCCTCCTCATCTTGTTCTTCATTTTTCATGTAATACAAATCTTTAGCAGAAACCCCCATTATTTCCTCACCACTTTCTTGAAAAGCAGTTACCCAAGTTGACCCGGTATGATCTTGTATTTGAAACTGAAGGATATATCTGTATTCACACTCATCAACAATCTTATCACACTTATCACATTTCCATATCCCTTCTTCATTCCTTGTAACTTTTTTACTGCATTGTCGATCACCATTCATGATCGGACACGCTGTGTAACAAAAGTTTTCAACTCTCAAATGCCATATAGTCCCATTCACTGTGATCCAGTCTGGTTTTTCAGATGTCCCCAGTTTTTCATCTTTGATTTGTGAGATAGTTTTTCTCACATCTGTTCTGGATATAGCATCCCTGGATAAAGAAACAGAAGGGGTGATTTTCCCAACACTTTCAAACCATGTTTTAAGTTTTCGAGCCTCTGGGAAATCAGGTTCTATGCATAGCTGGCTTGTGGATATTGTCCCTACGGATTTACCATTGAAATCACTCACTCTAGCAGATTTCACAGCCAAAACAGGAAACACACCAGAATCACACATGTTTTGAAGTGTCTGCCCTTCTGTGGAACAAAAGTTACCCCATAAAGTCACCTCCACACTTCTTCCAGACATGTCCTTAAGCTGTAAACTTCTTTTTTGAGTTTCGGTGCCGTTTTTTCTCATTAGGGTAGACGTAGGGGTAATACTGGAAACCACACCAATAATATCCAACACACTATTGTTCTCCAACCCTTCGATATCAGCAATGGAATGGAAATGAAACTGTTGCTGTGGAATGGAATTGTCATCATCAAAGCAAGGTTGAATGGTTGATGTGGTGTCAAGTAAGATCTCATGGTCGTTTTTTAAATGATTAAAAGCTTTTGCAGCAGGTTTTACACTGCCTTTTGAAATGAAGTAAACTTTACCGATTTCAATTTGGTCATAGAATTGATCAGCTACAGCATTGAAGCATGTGACACGTATTTCACCACCATCAGAGTCAAGAAGGTCAAAGGAAAAAACTTTTCCATCTCCTTTTGCATTGTTGTAACGTCTGAGTTCTGCTTTTGAAGTCACTCTGGCTTTTATAGTCCACCTACCTTGATAAGGGTTCAAAGCAGCAATGGGGATAATCCTAGCTGGAGCTTCGTTTTTAGCCACGGGTCCCCTGTTTGCATACATTGGAGGCGGTTGGTTATATGTTGGTTGGATTGGGCGCACATAACTGTTTGTAGGTGGATGTGAAACAGCAGCAACAGAATGGGTACTCAAAGGGTTACCATAAGAGTGTAAACTTGTATTATGATCCTGTTGAGGAGGGTAAATTGGGGAATTTGCAGGTCGTGGAACAGAGCCACCCATGAAGGTTTGAGGACTACCCATGCTTGTTGCTGGCTGATTGGAGGGTTGCATAGGTGAGGGAGACCTTGATATAGGAGGCTCATTGCCAGACCTAGGTGGAAATGGTTTTGCATCACCGATAAGATCACAAGTTGCCATAATCACATCAAGGTTGATGACTATTAAAATGCTGAAAAAGAAAACCAAAAGATGTCAGACAAATTTTATACAATAATTGCCAAAAGTTATGAAGAAAACTGTATGTCATGACTCATGAGTCATGACAATTGCAAAAGTATAAATTTATAGAAACAAAGTGCTTAAGATTCCCAATGCTGAGGAACTAAATGGTTTTATTTTGTGCATAAGTAATCAAAGAAACAAACTGCCTTATCTTTCTCAAATTTCAAAAGACAAGTAAATTCCCCACTGTTTTTAGTAGTTACAAACTTACATCATACATAAGAATAGCATCAATTTCTGGTTTATAAAGTACATTGACTCTTAGCCCACTGTAAGCATGAACCCTTTTGACTTCTTTAACACAGGCAATCTTGATTTTTTGTTCAGAAATCTAAAGTGGGTTTTAAAATGCAATGTTTATGACGGATCATGGTGTTCTTATTGTTTAACTCTTAGCATGAAAGAATAGATTATATTAATATTTATTGTCTTCATGCTTCCTTATAATAAATAATTAAAAAAAACTTTTCTTGTGGATATACTTGTGGAGTTGCATTGAGGTATCAATTGACATGCAGGGTTATCACGAAGCAATTGAAGTACACATAAGAAGCAGTGAACAAATGTCATACCTGGTAAAGTAAACCTTCACTTGTTGCTATCAATGGTAAAGTTCTTAGATACTACTAAATGCTAATAGATACTTCTTAGAGATCTATATGTCGATATCATATTACCAAAAAGTAGACAGATTACTGTGGTACTTCTTAGAATGAATGCAAATAATTAAATGCTGATAAGTAAAGTCCTAACTTGTAATCAATTAGTACTTTTTATGTAAGTATTATGTTCTTATCTGTGCTTATTATACTGACCATTGCCTAGTATATCAAACAAGAAGCACAAAAAAGCTCAGGTCCTAGCTTTTTCTAGAACATCCAAACTGTAGACTGAGTTTGTGACTATTTCAACACTAAAACCATCAAATATATGATACATCAACATTCAACAAGTCTGTAGTTTTGAAACATTACTGAATGAAGTGACTAGCATGTCACAGTAGCATTGATTCAAAACAGAAAAATCTTTCAGTGGTGAAGACTATTCTATTGATCATTTGTATAAACAACTTTATTAAAAAAAATCCTTTTACGCCATGTAAACCCTATCCCGTAAAAAAGACTGCTCTTATTTTCTTTAATAGAAAAAGAGGAAAGTCGCATTTTTTTAGTCCAGTAAATCTCTTTAAGTAATCTATTTACACTAACTCACGCACACACTTAAGATCAAGACTAATATTAAGAACAGGGGTACTGCACACATGTATTCACAGTCACCAAACATATCTCCGGAGAACCTTTCCAGTTTTTTTATTTTTAGAAAAAATAAATTTTGATATGTGATAGCAATATTATTTACGACGAAACTATTTCTTCAATTTGCTGAAGCAATTCCACATACATTAACTTCACACGAATATAACGAATGAAAAATAATGAAAGTAGTACGTACGGTCGATCACGGATGAAATTACAGACATACTCCTTCAACTGAACAACAGAACCCCTCTGCATCTGCTGAGATTTAACCAACTCATTCCGCTGAGTAGCAAGCATCGCTTGCTGAAAAAACAAGCCATCAGATAGCATAAGCCGGTATCTCTCCTGTTTTTCTCCTCCACTTACAGCAGAAGAAGTCTGTGACGGAACAGCCCGAAGTTCTATCACCTGAAGCACAGGTTTCACGTCCGCCGGTTGCCATTTCCCAGAAGATAGCATCTCTATTGCGCCTTCCGTCAGTTGCACCGCCATAATCTTTGATTGAAAGAAGTTTGATTGCAGGGATTTAGTTTGTTCGAGTGTGTGCAGTTTGGGGATTTGAAAACCCTAGAGAGAGAAATAGAGAGAGACCGAAGGATGAAAGGGAGGGAGATTAGGGAGGAATATATTTTGTTTTTGTAAGCGGCAATTCTTTGGTTACATTTAGCAGAATCTTACACTTAACCTACCTAGAATATTAATACCTTCCAGTAAAGACCCCCAACTTTTTTTCTTTATTCAATTGTCTCCTGGTAGTAGAATTTTTGTTAGTTTAGTTCTTATTCATCGGATTGTTTTAGTGATCATATTTTTATTTTTGAAAAATATAAATTTTGATTTTACATATATTACATTAATTTATATAAAAAAAATATATACCTTATTTCTTTTACAATGATTAGCATAGTTGGTTCGATATGATAAATTTGGACTTGGATCTTAGTCAAACAAGAGACATGTTTGAGTCCAAAGCTAGCACGCCAGGTCCATATAACTTTTGGGTGTGCTGAAAAAAAAAAAAAGTAAGGCCACTTAGACAATTTTCACAAATATACATTAATTTATATTAAAAAAAACTTCTAATCTTTTTAAATTCAAAATGCTAAGTGTTGGGTTATGGTTATTTTTTAAAACCGAAGAGCAACGTGAACATAAATTATATATATCATCGTAACATAAACAAAATCACAAATTCATAACTTTCAGGCAACAATGATTTAGATGTCAATATTAAAAGAAACAATATATTTGCAAGTTGATCTTTCTTTTGTGATTTAAAATGATGGAGGGCTCAAACCATAACATCTCTCTTAAAGTAGCACCCCAATACAATGATCAAGAAAAAGAAAATAACCCTTCTGTTTCTTGATACGAAAACGCGCCCAAAAGAAGTTTGTTGTCTAACAAGAAAAACTTGAGTTTTCGGATCCTAAGGACCTGATCTTGATAATCCAACAAAAAAGAATGTTGGTATGGATGCTATGAAACCTTTATCCAAAAATCAAGACATTTTGGCCGTTGATTTCTGGGAATCGACTAAACAATGCACCTAGGTCTTCAAAACCAGGAATTCAAGATAAAACCAATAAGGGAATGATGAAAAAGAAGGAAGTATGTGATAGGTGCATTTTATGCACCTATTTTGCATGTTTATATACATCCTTTCATAGCATTCTACTTCATAATTATTGCATTTAGTTAATTATTTGGGCAATTGCATATTTCATCAAGAATGTCTGGTACTTCACTATTTTTGATTTATTTTGCAAACATTATGGATCATGGAGCATGGAACTTGGAGCTTGGAGCTTAAAGCATGGAGCATGGAGCTTTAGAGCATGAAGAGAAGATGGACCGGTCATGCCATGGAAGAAAACATGAAGATATAACCCGAGTCCTTATTGCATTATCATCATAGCAAAGGACTACGTTTGAAACACGGTTCATGTCACACCGACACGGATCGTGTTTGTCCTTTCTCATCTTATATTTAAGCAACATGTCGTGGTGAAGCTAGACTGAAGAAAGAGCCAACAGTAAAAGACTTATTTGACTTTTAGCAAAAAACATGGGCCATGCTAAAAACACATGGTCATGCCAAAAACACACAGGCAAAAGGCATGGCCATGCTAAAAGCGCATGGTCTTATGGAAAGCACGAGAGCAATTAATAAAACAAGGGAGGTCTCCACTTATCATAGGGTAACGGTTTTTGGGAGCAACTTTGGGAGATCTTGGGCAATTTTGGAGATTTCTTAGAGCTTTTGAGAAAACCAAATCATTGCAAACAATTTGATTTCATTTTGTAAGCATTAAACATTTCCAATCCCATCTTTCTTTTTGATTGATTTGTTCTTATCCATGTGTGGCTAAAAAACCCTAATTTCTAGTTCTTGTTCAAAACATATTGATTGCTTGACTTGAAGCATTTTATTTGATGTTTGATTTGTGATTCTATTCTAGTGATTATGTTTTTGTTTAAACTAGAATCCTTGAATTTGATTTGTGTTTGATTGGCGACTTTCATGAATTAAATTTTTCTATAGTTAATGAATTTTTAGGGCACCTATTCTTTCTATTAAGTTAATAATTGGTAACAAACAATAAGTTTTCTTATTGTAAAACATATATCACATGTTTTCACACTTATGAGCGTATGAGAAGAAATGAACATTGTTAGGAAGCTTGTACAAAACTTAATGCGGTTTTTCAATACAATCTAAGAGCGTGTTTAGGTTAAATTAGTAAGCTAGGTCTAGTCAAAGAGCGTGTTTTGGTTAGATAATTTGGCAAGCGAGAGGTATTAGAGTGTGTTAATAGCTTTCAGTACCAACTTAGAATAACAATCATGAATTATATCAAGTCATAATCAAGTCGAACAACAACATTGAGAACTAGAATTAGAACCATTCAATCAAATTGTTTACAAGTTTATTTCATTTTGTGCATGCTTTTAAAGTAGATTGTTATTTAATTATTTTACTTTTTCAAACAAAACCCCCTTTGTGACTAAAGTACCTTGCAAAGAGGTATAAACTTTTATCCCGTGTCTCTGTGGTTCGACCTTGCTTGCCTTGTACTGCTTTTTAGTGCATTAAAGTAGTGTATTTTGAGTCTGTTGTATCCCTATTATTTGTTGGGTTTGACACGCCTAACAAATTGGTGTCGTTGCCGGGGACACGATGTTACTAATTTTTTATGTCAAGATTTTTGTGAGCAGGTACATCTCTAAAAAAATCAAAAAAAAGTATGGCGCAGAAATGAACACTCCTTACATTAATGATCAACTTTTTGAGCTAGCCCAGTTAGTTATGATGATTGGAAATGACCAAAGTGTGCAAACTACACCTACTCCTTGCGATTTATGCACTCAAAATAGATATCATACCGACATGTGTCCATATTTACAAGGAGAATGGGAAGAAGTGCAAGAAATGGGAAGCTACTATTGGCCAAATCAATGGAGACTAATCATCCATGCCTTAAATTATAGCCAACATTCATTTGTAAAATGATATATATATATATATATATATATATATATATATATATATATATAATTGGTTGGTACGGTATTACCATGGTATTGAAATTCTATACCATTACCGTACCAAGATTACTTAACTAGTACGGTATTACTAACCAAATATATTGGCTACCAACTTAATTGGTTCAATTGGTAGCATATTGGTTGGTTTACTTCGACACATATTTGATATCCCTAGTCCCAACAACCATATCCTCCACCTCCTCAACAAACTGAAATATTGAGCATGTCCTTGGAAGACATTGTGAAAAGCATTGCTACTACTACCCAAATCTTCTAGGAAACAACAAAAGCTAGACTCAAAAGCTTAGAGCAACAAATTGCACAACTTACGCAATATGCGAGTAAAGGCGAATTACCATCACAAACCGAAGAGGACCCAAGGCATACTGTTTTTTCCATAACCTTGAATGATGGAAAAAAATTTAATGACCCAAGATTGCAAATTGAAGACGGGGAAGAGGATGAAGAAGTAGAAGTGGAGAATGTTGTCAAGGAATAAGTAGAAATCGATAAGGTTGTCATGGAAGCTATATAGGAGGTGTTGGAGGTTGACGAAAGAGAGGTTGAGCCACCCACTACCAATGAGAAACTCCTTTCACTGGTAGACCAACCACCAGAGTCAGAAATGATAAATCTGTCGGGCCCTTCAAAGGATACGTATCCCAAGAAGGAAGACACCCAACCGGTCATTAACTCGATATCCTCATCAAAGAAATAAGAGTTGATCACCTTACTAGACAAGTACAAGAAAGGGTTCGGTTGGATGATTGTTGTCATCAAGGGTCTAAGTCCAGTATGGTTCCCAAGCAAAAAGAAAGTTAGGTATAAGATAAATGTCCCATTTGAGGAAGTACTAAGAAGTTTACTTAGTTGGAGAACCCCAACATTCAAAGAATAACATATTCTAGGGGACAAGTCGAGCCAAAGACTTGAAACAAGGGCAACTAATCGAGGGGTAACTCAGAAGTATTTTCTTTCCACTTTTCCTTTAATTTACTTTATTTTTGTTGTGTTGCAATGTTTTTGAGTCTTTTTAGAGTTCCATGCAAAACAATTTTTATATCTGTTAACGTATCCCTATGGGGAACGTCAAGAAAGAAGTCAAACTGACACCGGGCTTGGCCTAGTCAGAACCTAGTCTAAAGCCAAGTTCGGGCCTTCGCCAACGCAAAGAGCGCTGATATGGCGGTTAAGTTACATCCCGACAAACATGGGACCAATAAGAGAGTCCCACTCACCAATTAGACGATAGCCACGATCTTCATAAACGTTTAGGAGATTCCCTCACATCTAATGAGGGAATGAGGCAAAAGGCGTGACAAAGGACCCTATAATATGGGTCCGCCATGTCGCACCTCACGAGGGAATCCTCAACATAATCGGTTGAGGGACACGCCTCGAAAACATGTATAAAAGGATCCATATTCTTTACAAGGAAGGAGATAATATTCTCTCTTCCCTATAATCTTCTACCATCTTTCTCATATCTCATACTGACTTGATCGTTGGAGCTTCGTCCCGGGAACTCCTCCCGTACGTCGAGTAACGGTCATTTCTCTCTTTTGCACTATGATAACAGGAGAAGATACTCATACGGATCCCCCTTGCAGTTCCGACTCCATCCTCTCCAACATATCACAACATTTGGCGCCATCTGGGCGTATCTTTAGAACGATACATCCATGAAACAAACCCAGAAAGCAACAATGGCAAGCGATATCCCAATGACATCAGGAGCAGCACTGAAAAGCCCGCTGCGCCCAATGCAGTCACTTGATGGCGAACATGTTGGATTTGGTGTCTAAGCCCATAACTATAATTGGTATGTACTTGACCCGAGAGTAGCATGGTCCTTTTGGGTTGCCTTCACCAATGCACTTGATAGGATGGACTTTTGAGAATAAGGTTATTTGTGATTTGTTAATATATTACAAGTATAATATATTAATATGAAATCATATTATTTAATTAGTATTGATCAAGAATTAATTTGGAATTAATTTAGTGATCAAAAGAGACTAATTAAATATACGGGGAGTGATTTGGTAAATTAGTGATTCTTATAGTGTG